AGTAGATATTGAATGCTTTTTGTTAAATTAGATCGATTTTCAAACCCCAAAATTTAAAATATATTTTACATTTTACCCATTATCTTATGTACCTATTCATTATTTGTGTATTGTAAAACATTTGCTGCATTTGTATGGTTCATAGTTTATTTGCCAAAGTATTTATTACTATAAATAGGTATATACATATATTGTATTTATTAACTGTATATTATGTATATTCATGAAAACTATATCATTTTTAAAATACAAACCAAAAATACAAGGAATAATTATGTTTTCCATGTATTCTACAACATATTTATTAATCCGTGGTATCTAACTAGCGTGACGTCATAAACCTCGCTCCGAGGCTGTTCTATTAGAGACGACATTGGTCTGATATTTAGAAATGCCAAAGGCTGATGACATTTTACTTTTGTCAATTATGACATTTCGCGTTGATTTTTGCAAGAAGGGGAAGAACTGTAACTTGTTTTATTATTGTCCTTTTCTATTTCACGATAGTAAAAAGAGTCACCTATCGTTCAGGCACTCATTTTAAAGAATTTCAGTAACTTTTTGGGTAGAGGGATTTTATATTTGCCATGTTGGTAAAAAATAACGGTCAAAATTCAAAGTTATTCATTTTATAGACTATACCAATACGGCGTCGTCGGCATAGCACAGAATAGTAATTTCCTGGTTGCCCATATTGTATCCCTTCAATAAACGTACATTTCCTATTATTTCGTCCATATAATGCTGTTGAAAAGAATGGGGCTCAGGGAGTCACCTTTTCGAATACCACGGCCTACATTTATTGGTTCGGGTGTGAGGGATTTGCCTATTGTAAAGAAGGTGTACAACGTCTCTTAGCTCCACACGGTCGAACGCTTTTTCTAAATCAAAAGATGTGCAACCTTATGGGCGATTTCGTGGCACAAAACCTGTCTGAGATGTAGCTGGCGTTTTCGTCAATCTGTCCGAGAATTTCAAGATTTAGTTCAACTCGGCGCCGCTGTGCGCTGATGGTTGTTTACAGCGCAGCGGATAAAGAATACTGTATCGTAGTTATGCTTTCAGTCGACAGAGTGGTTGTTGGAGACAGTGTTGCCAGAACTACTGATTAATCCGTAGATTTACGGATTTTGGGTACAGTACGTTAAAAGTACGAATTTTCTATCATTAAATAATTTAATATAATATTATATGATTAAAACCAAGAACGTCATCAGAAGTTGGTTTGGAAATGAAGATCGCTGTTATTTCATAATCTGTAAAATATTATGGTAAATGTCGATATTACACATTGTAATATGGCAACACTGTCGCTTTCAGATCCACACGGTCTTCGATATGCCTTCGCTGGCCGAATTGGAGAAAATAGGTGTTTTATGCATTGACCGCAGAACGATTGGTGTCTCCACCGTACAGCCCTTGAGACGTCAGGGGAAATCAAATCAGCCTTGTCACGAATTCGTCCATTAGGTTGCCTATCTTCCCTAATTCTTTCAATCAACGGCGACACCTTTGATTTTATCTATTGAAATGAACGTGAATGAATTATATTTTTACAGCAGGTAAAAAATGAAGTGAAATAGGTCGAACGTATAAAGATAATTGATTTGTTTTTGAACAGATTGCTGGAAAATTCGTTATTTAGTGGTTATGCTCTATCTCTCGCGCAGATTTAATCTCTCTAATGATACCCTTCGTGTTGTTACGCTGCTCGATTGGTGTGAAATTCTAAGGCTCCAGGTCATATTAACAGTGCTTTGGCGCAGTAAATTACCCTACCGAGAGAGAGAATAATATAAATCAACTTTTAATTGCCCTTAATATTTCATAAACGCCTGCTGGTATTCGATCTTGCATTGTATGGCGAATCGGCAGAATTTACGTTTATTTTTTTAACCATTATTTTCGAATAAGGGTATGAACGGTGTTTATATAGGAGGAGGAAAGAGTTGCAGGTAAATGTTTGCAAAGTTGTTATTTGTGTAGGCCTGCTATATCATCGGTATTGGCGCCAATAAATATATGGAGAAAGAAAATTGATTTTTTACACGTGTATGAAATTGTGAAATGAGCACCTATTTGTGTGTGCATGTTTTAATATCTTAAGTATCTCCTCAAAAAAGTGCTATGGGTATTTCGAAATACCCATAAGATTTTTTTGAATACAAGGAAGGTTCTTTCCACCTTCTATTCCAGTATGTAATGAAAACTATCATTATGAAATAATGAATAGAAAACAATTTTTTTTAACATAAACAAACCACACAAAACAAATTGTTGGTTCGTAGTAGTCAGAGATATACAGGGTGTTTCAAAACAAATGCGAAAAACTTCAGGGGGTTGGGTCAAAAGTCAACCATTAGGGAGATATCGCGGTACAAAAATGGCGGAAAAATAATGTTTTTATTTTTTATCTTGAAAACGAAAAGAGATAGACTAATGAAATTTTATGGAAGCATTACTGTTATGAAAACACACTTTCTGGTATTTTTTACTTTTTTTTTTAAAATGAGTGGAAGGGGTTGAAATAAACTACCCCTATCATTCTTGTTAATGAAATTTAAAGAAAAATCTTATCATACACATGCAAAAAAAAATAATTTTGGATAGTTTAGTTTATTTAGAAACTTTTTTATCTCTTGTGTTTTTTTGATAAAACTCACCGATTTGAAATTAAAAAATAAAATGTAAAGCATTACATGTCAGGACAAAAAACATTTTTAGATAAAGAATCTAGTGGGCAGCTGTAATTTTTTTAGAAAAAAATCTAGTCGGCCGCTGTCACTTTTTAGGATGTTTCTAATATTGTTCTATTTGACATTACCCTACTGCAATACGTTATTATCTAGATTATTATTATTATCATTATTATCGCTAGATTCTTAATCTAAAAATATTTTTAGTCCTGACATATAATGCTTTACATTTTATTTTTTAATTTCAAATCGGTGAGTTTTATAAAAAAATACAAGAGATAAAAAAGTTTCTGAACAAACTAAACTATCCAAATTAATTTTTTTGCATGAGTTTGATAAGATTTTTCTTTAAATTTCGTTAACAAGAATGATAGGGGTAGTTTATTTCAACCCCTTCCACTCATTTTAAAAAAGTGAAAAATTACCAGAAAGTGTGTTTTCATAACAGTAATGCTTCAATAAAATTTCATTAGTCTATCTCTTTTCGTTTTCCAGATAAAAAATAAAAACATTATTTTTCCGCCATCTTTGTACCGCGATATCTCCCTAATGGTTGACTTTTGACCCAACGTTTATGAAGCAAACTACCCTTTATTTTGAACAAGTAATCACCCCCTGAAGTTTTTCGCATTTGTTTTGAAACACCCTGTAGATGCAGTAGTATTTTAGTTTAATGGCCATAACTGCCGGGGCTATCCGGCCGGGAAAATTATCGTTTTTTAATAAAAAGTAAAAAATATTTAAATTAAAAAAACAATTCATTAAAAAATATATATCCTTCAAATCCAAGTGTGTGCAACATAGTGCAAACACTTTTTTAATGGGTACTTGACTTTCACATTCACAATCCGAAGGCAATAAAGTGGTTGATGCGTAATGCTAGCTACACAATCTTTCTTGCACCTTGCTACTTCCCAGGCGTGTAAACGTCGGTGTAAACACTAATATATGGGGTTGACACGGTCAAAGAGTACACTTGGACGCTGTGTGAGTTTCACTCGGACCCTGTTTGGATCGTACCAACTGATTTAAAATCGGTTGACCGTCGTGTCAACCAAGCGATAGCACAATTTTTTTTTCTACATTAACTTACTACGAAAGCGTAGAGCTGCCATCGCAACAATGAAATATAATTTTAGCAAAATTTACACTTTTTCTGTAAATTTACAGATTTTCTGTAAATTTACACTTTTTCTGTATGTGTTAAATTTACACTTTTTCTGTAAATTGCATGCGAAATTTACTACCCAGCAGAATGACGTCTCGGCATCGACCTCTCGTTACTCACTAGTTACAAGTGAGCATTGTTCTGCGCTGATTAAGTTGCTATTGTGCCTAAGTAGTACATATATTCATCAGAGATTATGGACGAATACATTAAAACCTACTTTCATATCGGATTAAGTCATAAAGAAATTTTGACATGTCTGCTAGAGGATGGTTATGTTAAGTTTACATCATTTGCAGACGACAGTTTACGTCATCCCAGAGGTGGAGGCCATCAGATCCTCTTGCAAACAGTAATGCATCGGAAAGGGTGAAAATACTTTCCGGGTCGATTAAAAGCATATTAGAAAACATATTAAACAAAAAAATGCCATACTATTATATCATACACATTCGAAATTTAATACATAATCCCTAAAATAAGAGATCACCCGATTTTTCTGTACTATGTTAGACCCAGGTTCAGTATAGACGATGAGGAATAATTCTTCAAGTATTTTTGAAGAGAGTGTGGTTTCAGAACAAAATATATCTTTGAATATACTGGGATATTGCTTAATCTTTTCATATAATCCGCATGTCTTCAATCCTTCAATTAATTGCCGCAGTGGTTCCCTAATTCTGTCTTTACTAGTAAAGACTTTTGTGAATAAACTGCCGTAGAACAGAATTCGATGGGAACTACTCGTAGAATAACGCACCACTGTTGCCACTAACGCATAAATTAACAGAGAAAGTGTAAATTTACAGAAAATCTGTAAATTTACAGAAAAAGTGTAAATTTACAGAAAAAGTGTAAATTTACAGAAAATCTGTAAATTTACAGAAAATCTGTAAATTTACAGAAAAAGTGTAAATTTACAGAAAAAGTGTAAATTTACAGAAAATCTGTAAATTTACAGAAAATCTGTAAATTTACAGAAAAAGTGTAAATTTTGCTAAAAATATTTTTCAATGTTGCGATGGCAGCTCTACGCTTTCGTAACTTACATATGATACAATATTTTTTTTTGAAACCTAGCAACATATCTACGTATTGTTTTTTTTGTTGATTTTTATTTTTTTCTAATGATATAGATGCGAAAAGAAAAATTTACGACGCACGAGGTACTAGGAGCTCAACGTCCAGATCTTCCAGGAACTACAGAAGTTATTTCGATCTTCACAATCCGTTTTCTCAACGGTTTTTCGGTAGTTATCCATGATTTCCCCGTTTTTTACTCCTTTTTAAGTGTGCTAATACGATTTTTTTTATTATTTTTTATTAAAATATTGTCCATTTAATCCCGAATTATTTTTCGATTTTTTTATTTTTTAATTTAAACTAACTTAACTAACCGTGAAAAAAAGCTTTTTAGGTTTTTTCAAACTATTTTACTTAAAAACAGTGGCACTGGTTTTCAGTAAAAATCTAGTATTTTATTTTGACTATATTTTGTTCATGTTTAGATGAGACGAAAATCTAAAAATGCTTTTAAAGTACAATATGCTTAAGGAATTTTACGCGAAATGAGGTTATACCTAAATTGGAGTTTGTGAAATGAATCATTATTTGTGAATTTTTGAATTCTTATGTGCTTAGGTCAATACGCAGGTTAATAATACGGTTGGCTTTCATATAACAATTAAAAAATGTGCTAATTAATTTTTTTACGGGTTTTTATTTTAATCGGGCCATTTAAAAAAAATGATACTATTTTTATTTAGGCACATTTTTGGATTCAGGTATGACTTCCTAATTTATTTCGCATTCTTGTTTTAAATTTGCGCTTTTTAACGCTCACTTATTAACCAGCCATGATTAATAATGTATTTTCCTAACATTTTGAGGTAGGTAGCTTTTTTAAAGCCAGCACTAAGCATTCACAATTAAAAGTACCTACTGACTTTCGTAACAAATCATCACTTTGGGGGATGGTACAACCAAGTTGGGCTGAACGCTTTCTTGCAAACGATCTACAGCCATACATGACATACCTATATCAGTTAATTCAGTTTGGACTTTCCAATACTTTTTCTTTAGTTTCAAAAGTAAAAAACCATGTAATAACTAGTAGTGGGAACTATCGAATGAATACTATCGAAACATTCGATAGTTGCAATTCATTCGAATAATTCGATAGTTAGTAAGAAAACATTCGTTGAAAACTATTCGAATAAAAATTATCGAATAGATCCGTTATCGCCTTGAAATATTGTATTCTAGTAATTCGGCAGCAAAAACCATTCATTTATAAAATTCATTCATTTATTCGTCAGGATCGATTATAATAAAATATTAACTGAATTTTAGTTGCGACGTAGGTTTCTTTCCGAGAAACCCGACAGCGGTCGGTGGCAATGCTATGAAAGAAGCCGGCATCTTTGATTTTTTGCGGAGTCAGATAAGGACACATTATTTTTTTTATTGAGGTGCCAGTATTTACACAGAAAATACATTATGAAGGGCGCTGTTGCCATATTTTGGTATTAGTTGATATTAGCAAAGAATATTATTGTTTGACTTTAGTTAGTTAGGGCAAGTTAGGGATAGTATGTCTATATATTCTACATTTTTTTTTATTAATATTCTGTTGTTACACTGCAATAATATTTGTTATTTTGGATGTAGGAAAATGATTTTTAATATTTTTATTCTCATCTCTCTTAAAAATTGCTACTTCTCAAAATTTCCCATTAAAAAATAGACCATATACCATATAAAATTAAATAATTGAAAGATCGGACTACGGAAAACCACACAAATTTTCGGAAAAATTTTGACCACCTGCACATGCACACAATCGTCAATAAATAAAATTAAAAAATAACTACTATTTTAGTATTTTAACTATTTTAATAAACGCAAAAATAGCACAGTATTTATACGGCGAAGTTATAAAAATTTGGAAGAACTAATAATGCACTGACGCATACAAAAATCAAACGAATACTAAATTTCATTTATCAAAAGCATTCGATAGTCGTGGCGCAACGATAACCATTTAGTCGCACGGCGAATTTGTCACATATGCTTTAGTACACAATTGAATGAATGGTTTTATTCGAATAAAACCATTCGATAGTTGAAATCATTCATTCATTAAACATTCGATAGTCTAATTCATTCGATAGTTCCCATCGCTAGTAATAACTAACCGATAATGATCAAGTGTAGTATATCCATCCTTACAACAATAACATACCTTTCATTTACTATAATTTAAGTTGGAAAAATTTAGCAAAATCTTTTTGGGCAATTTTTTTTTATAAATATACCCAACCTTTTTATTGATATTTTATTTCATTTATAGGATATGAGACTGCGTGTAAGGTTTAAATTTACTAAAAGAGTGTTTATCTATTGTTTTTACTTAATAGTTTCTATTATAAATATTATAGTTAATATATGTAATGTATATTTTTTTAATAAGATACTAGTTTACTAAGCACGTGTTGTATTCTTTGAAATGCAGTCATGGCGTATTCAGAATGGAATGCAAAAATAGAGTTCATAAAAAAGAGTACTTAAAAAAATAGCTGCGAAAGAATTTACGAATCTGCTACACCTTTTAATACATAATAATTTTAAATGAAATTTAAGTCAATTAATATGAATAAAGATATGCCCCATTTAATCCTTGAAGAAAATTTATAACAAATTTAAAGCTCAATTCTGAGCTTCGCAATTAGTGGAATAAATTGGTGGCTTTAATTAGCGTAGAAGTTTGTTCCTTTAATTTCAATGTTAGCATTCAGAACGTCAGAATTAGTGGTAGACATTTTCAGTTAGTAGAAAAAGTTTTTTGCGAGAAATGTCATTTTGGCCTTAGATTATCTTCCGCCAAGAGAAATTTTATCAAAAGTTATAATATAAGCTAAATATTAGGGTTTCTCTATGGATACAACTGACTAAGGGCTCGAACACACTGACGACCAGGTCGCACCGGCCAGGCCGCAGCTACCTCTAAAACCATTAAATCAAATGACATAGCGCACACTAACGTCCTGGCCGTCCGTTGGTCGTTGCGACCAGAAGACTGCACGGAAATATTATTATTTTCTGCCGCTTGTTGCCGGTTTTCTTCCAAATTAATAATATTTCAGATGAAATCCCTCAAATTCAAGGCACAATATCTTATTGTCTATAAGATATAGTGTTTTAGTGTAGATTTTGCACCCGTGCAGAAAATCCAAAGAAATAGTATACAGACTGGATCAAAGGTAAACTTAAATCTAATCCCTTTTTTTTTATCAAGGGTCGATTCTAGTAAAAACTCAAAACATTTTTATATGACATACCCACTCTATTTATGGTTAGTATGATACCTGTTATTATACCTTTGAGTTACGATGTTTAAAAAACTAAAAAAAATATATATTTAAAGTTTTTCTACAACCACTTGTTTTTTTTTATTAAATTAGTTTTTTTAGTTGTATTGTAGTCATATACAAGGAGGACAACTGTATTTTAAATATGATATTTAATTTAACGTTTTTCAAACAGGGTTCATTAGACTATATTTCTACTAGGTACATTATTTCGAAAAAAAAATTAAGAAAGTAACTTAAACATTCATAAAAATAGAAGTAATTACTGTTGTAGATTCTTCGTTATATTATAAACATTGAAATAACTGGAAGCTAAACTTTCTACCTGTTTATATTTAGAGCCAGTTCTGACGATCTTTTTACGATGACCCTAATATGTTTACTTCTAAAGTCGATAAGGGCGCCATATCAGTAGAAAAAAGAAACAGAATATCTCCCTTTTTGTCGGTCGCGCGTACACAATGCTTTTTGTTTGTTGTGAATAGCAACTTCGCTTTTTAGTTAACTCGGATATTTTAACATTTCTGAAACAATATTTTCTAATTGGTAAAACATAAAAAATCGTTAAATTTGACAACTCTGTTGAAACTGGTCGTTCGTCTGGCCGCAGCTAAAAACGCAATACATCCGGCCAGCCGACGGAAGCTGTTGCTAGGATATTTAGTTAATTTTAATTGCGTTTTTTAAACATTGTGAATGATCGTAAACTAAAAAATATAAAGTGTAATAGAAACCACTAATCTATTCCACTAATTGCGAGGTTCTGAATGAAGCTTTATTTTTCACCTTCGATTTCAAATTTTGACGCATGATTATTTAATTCAGATTAATTTACTATACATTTTATACTTAAAATTTCTTTAGAAATGATAATCAGAAACTTTGGATTATTTATATGGAGTGTCCTATTAAAAAATATGTTTGATTTGTTAAGTACTTACTGGATCACCCCGTATAACGGGTATATTTTTTACAAATGCCGATGAATTTCTTTCAAAATACAGTTTTTTCGAAATTCCTACCCGTTTAGATGCTATAATTGAGACTATCTTGGTTGTATCACCCTGTATAATTTATTTTAATAATTCTGATATAAAATCTTTCGTATTATACATTTATTTCCTTAGTTATTTCAGTTTTCTCTATTAATAGTTTAATAAAAAAGTAGAATTAATTATTCATTACTACATTTTCATTTTTTTTTAATTTAGTTAGCAGTTCATTTTTAATATACCTACGCATCATTGAGATTAACTGAAAGTTTAACGCGACATAAATAAAACATACTCGGGACCCACCAAACCGATTTTTCTCCTCTCTCCACCTATAAGGTTTCACTATAGGCAGTTCTCCACCCGGCTTGGTTTGTATATACTTCGGTGGTGATTGGCAGTAGCATCAGGATACTTGAAAAACGCTTTTCTTCTGGCCCAATTACTCGCGCCTTTTTTGGAATTGTGCATTACTGAATGCTTGTTCTTTTTGCAGATAAGAAGAGACGCATGTACGACCAGTACGGCAAAGACGGCCTGTTGAACGGCGGCGGTAGATCTAGAAGCCGTCACGACGACGATTTCGATCTCGGCTCGTTCGGATTCTTCACCTTCCGCGACCCTGAAGATGTATTTAGGGAATTCTTCGGGGCCAGTGATGTTTTTGATCTCTTAAGCGGTAAGTATTTGTTAAAGCCTCCGATTAAATACAAGGTATCTCAGAAATAAGTGCATGTATTTTAACTGGTGTAGTCTATAAAATGAATAACTTTGAATTTTACCGTTATTTTTTACCAACATGTCAAATATAAAATCCCTCTATCAAAAAAGTTACTGATATTCTTTAAAATGAGTGCCTGAACGAATCAGATAGGTAACTCTTTTTAATTTCGTGAAATAGAAAAGGAAAATAATAAAACAAGTGACAGTTCTTCCTCTTCTTGCAAAAATCAACACGAAATGTCATAATTGACAAAAGTTAAACGTCATCAACCTTTGACATTTCTAAATATCAGACCAATGCCGTCTCTAATAGAACAGCCTCGGAGCGAGATTTATGACGTCACGCTAGTTAGATACCACGGATTAATAAATATGTTGTAGAATACATAGCAAACATAATTATTCCTCGTATTTTTGGTTTGTATTTTAAAAATGATATAGTTTACATGAAATATACATAATATACAGTTAATAAATACACTATATATACCTATTTATCGTAATAAATACTTTGGCAAATAAACTATGAACCATACAAATGCAGCAAATGCTTCACAATATACAAATAATGAATAGGTACATAAGATAATGGGTAAAATGTAAAATATATTTTAAATTTTGGGGTTTGAAAATCGATTTAATTTAACAAAAAACATTCAATATCTACTAATAGTGATATATTATTATTTGCATTCACAAAATTTATATGTATATTTTGCAAGCATCAATGTTCGAAAAATTATATTTGCAAATAATACAATATCATAGAAAAAAAGGCGTCAGCGATGGCTATGAAATAAAGATCGCTGTCATTTTATATGTAAAATTATTCTCAAATTTTTTATTTTGTTGGGATTTAGGTTCGGGAAAAACGCTGATTAAGTTTTTATTTGGTTTTTCATTATTTTGTTTTGTTTTAAAAAAACGTTATAGCTAACGTTTATAGCATTCATCAGTGTTGTGTCATATGAAAAAAAATAGTCTCGAATATAATCCAAAAAATTACATATACGAGGAATAATTATTTTTTCCATGTATTCTACAACATAATTAATCCGTAGTATCTAACTAGCGTGACGTCATAAATCTCGCTGGGAGGCTGTTCTATTAGAGACGGCATTGCATCAGCATGGCCGCAAGTTGCTAACCTAATAAAATTAACACTAGAAAAGCCCGCGGGAACTGTCAAATTCAAAGTTATTCGTTTCACAGACTATAGTATATTTCGACCGTAGAAACACGCTCACGAGGTTTTTTGCAAAAAAAATTGTTGAAAATTTTAAATTTTTCTTGACATTTTCCGGGAAATTAAAAAAAACTTTTTAGTGCCACTTGTTTATTCACCTTTTTGGAATAGATTTTTTCTACGGTGTATCTAAACTTTGCAGTGTTGCAACCTCATTTGTTATCCACATTCTACATATTTATAAATTGACAGACAAATTTCTACACAAAAAATTAGGAATGTTAAATTTAATCTTTTATCGGTGCTCATTATTAATAATTCTAGAAAAAAAAACACATTAATTATTTTTAATACCTAACCCTTTCAATGAAGACAACAAAAACCACCGAATACTAACTAAAAAATTACGTTAATGTTGTTTACGAGTGGTATTATGTTGCAAATAACTTTATTTTGGAATAAATTTCTCAAATCAGATAAAAAAAAAAAGAAATTCCTAAAATGTTTATCGTAATTCAGAATTTAATATATCGAAAAGAGCCCAACGGATAATCGATTTATTTTTGTTTTGTTTGTTTCCTTTCATGTTTATCTGTTTTATTTTTAAAATTTAATACGAATTTGATTGATTCCGATGTCTTGAATTTGAAATTGTTGAAAATACGGCAACCTCGCTTAATATCGTCGCAAGACGCAAGCTCGACACGGCGGCGCGGCGCCTCGAAGAACAAAGAACTAGTTCACACGCTGCACTTTTGGCGGATGGTTGGTTGTCAATGGCATTGTCGAAATACATTGAAAAGATAACGAAAAAACAAAATATGTATTTAAAATTGTTGAGTGAAACATTACAAGTATTTTCTTAGATTAATAGTAGTTCGTAAAGTAGTGATAAGAAACGATAATTCTCAACATTTATTCGTTCAGAAAGGTATTCAAAGTAATGTGCGTTTTTCACGGTATTTTGTAAATCAGTGGTTCAAATTGTGATGAAGCTTATATGAAAATAATGTGTTAGAAATGGGGATTTTATTTTAGCAGTTATTATAACAGCATGTACAAGTAAAGCAGCACAGTGAAGTGTATTTTAGTTAAGTGTGTATCGAAAAAGAGAACTGTCACAGTTACATCGATTTGTCATAAGTATCTTTTTTTAATATTGGGTAAGTTTTTTCTTTTATGTAATAATATCCCAATCTTATAAATGTTATGCATCTCTGCCAAACTCCTCAGGTGGTGTGATTTTATGACTTATTTTTAAACATATACTTTCTTGTCCATATGGCAACACAGGGCGTCGAATTACCTGAGATCCGGGTAATTGGATGTAGTTGGCGATATTTACCGGCGGTTCTCAAAATGTTGTTATTATTTTTTTTAAATTTCAAAGTTAAATAACTCGGTTATTTTCAATTTATTTAAAAATAGTAAAGAGAAAATATGTTTCTTCTGACTAGATCTACCATCCCTTATAATACTTGCACTTATTTCTGGGACACCCCCATCTTAGATGTGTCTTAGAGCTCAAACGTACTGACGGCCAAGTCGCAGCGACCAGGTCGCTGTTACCTCTAATACCATTAAATCAAATGATACAACGCGCACTAACGACCTGGCCGTTGGCTGGTCGCTGCGACCAGTAGACTGCACTAAAATATTATTATTTTCTGCCGCTTGTTGCCGGTTTTCTTCCAAATTAATAATTTCTTCCAAATTTATAGTGTTTTAGTGTAGTTTTTGCACACGTGCAGAAAAAAAAACAAAGAAATAGTATACAGAAAGGGAAACTTAAATCAAGTCCTTTTTTATCAAGGGTCCATTCTAGTAAAAATTCACATTTTTATATGACATACTCTATTTATGGTTGGTATATATTTTTTTTCCTCCTTTCTTGGGTATGAGTTTTTTTTTATTAATTGAAAATGGAAACTTTTTTTTATTATGCGACGTTTCGCCTCATCATGGTGGGCTTTCTCAGGCCATTTATGGTTGGTATGATACCTGTTATTATACCTTCGAGTTTCGATGTTAAAAAATAAAAATAAATCATATTTAAGTTTCTTTTTGATCTGCCTTGTATAATCTTTTTTTTTCTTTCTCTGCAATGTGTAAAATCTGTACTAATTTCCCTTCTGTAATTACCATTAATATTTTAAATGCATTATTTGTAAAACGTTAAAAATCTTTAGATCTGACAGCCCTGCTGAAACAGGTCGTTCATCTGGGACGCACCTATGTACGCAATAAATCCGTACAGCCGACGACCATGTCGCTGCGCCCTAGCCGTCAGTGCGTTTCAGCTTTTAGTCTAATTCGTTTTTAAATAATATTAATTCAATTAATTTTTCTATATAGACCTTCATCCACACCGCCATCGTCATCACCACGGTCACCGCAACCGTCATTCGCATCCCCAAAATCAGCTGAGCAGCCATGGTCTCTTCTCGCCCTTCAGTCTACTAAGTACCGGATTTATGGATGACTTTTTCAACCACGCCGCGAGCGGACACAGCAACGGAGGATTCAGTTCGTTCAGCACGGTCAGCAGTACTTTCAGCAATGGAAACGGTACCTCCAGCAGTGCTTTGGGAGGTAACGTCCGTCGTACGTCCACGTCCACTAGGTTTGTGAACGGAAAGAAAGTCACCACCAAGAAGTAAGTAATTTGTATTGTTGAAATGTTTAATCGGTAAATCTATATCAATATATCGATATAATTGATATACCGGATCGGCAAGAAAGAGTCTTACAGCGTCCTTTAGATGAGCTGAGTGTCCGCGCGAAATCATCCGGGCACAGCATACGCGACCCATGTAAAATTGTTCATATAAATTCATGGTACTTGCTCGAAGTTGCGGACGGTCCGCTTCATCTGTAAGCGCTGTTAGTCTGTTAGATGGGTATTACTTGAATCGCTATGGTGTTCTTATACATAACCATCTAAAGCTTGATTTTCATGCATCCGTTGTCCGACGATATGATTATATGATATTAATTTTATTGGTTGAAGTTAAAGACTTCGATTGGTTAGAAAATTGCGCAGTTTTTAAATATATTGCATTTCATGCCTCCGTCCATCGGATATACAGGGTGTCTCAGATTTTAATCGGGAAAATTTAATATACGATAGAACTTGCAAAAATAATACAAAAAGTGCATATCAACTTGTAAGATTTAAAGCTTCCTTTTCGAGATACAGGGTGTTAAAGTTACTTAAAAAAGAAAAAAAATTTAAGATATTTGAAAAACTATTTAATAGATTTTGATATAACTTGACCCGTTTATAACACTTACTATGGGACTTAATTTGATGTAAATAGATTTAAGTTTAATGGCCAGGGGCGGCGGTGGGGCATCACTGTTAAATTATTTTAAAGGAAAAAATAGGCACGCCACTGCTTTTTTAGAAGTTTAATATTATTTTTGGACTTAGTAAAAAAAATATTATTTTTTGTCTCCTGACTTTTTTTGTCTATCTTACTTACTTCTTGCGAAAAAAATGAAATTCATTTATTCACTCCACCCTGGACAATAAATTAAATAATAATAATGGTTAGTTACAAAAATTACAATAATTGTTCGAATTGATAACCACTAACATCAACGCATTGGTTTCTGCTATTGTTGCCGTCAACGATATTTCATATTGTTTACGCATTATAAAAAAATCCATAAATACACGGGAAAGATACCTACTCAGCCCGATTATTTAATTTATTGTCCAGGGTGGAGTGAATAAATGAATTTATTTTTTTTCGCAAGAAGTAAGCAAGATAGACAAAAAATTCAGGAGACAAAAAAATAATATTTTTAATTACTAAATCCAAAAATAATATCAAACTTCTAAAAAAGCAGTGGCGTGCCTATTTTTTTCTTTAAAATAATTTAACAGTGATGCCCCACCGCCGCCACTGGCCATTAAACTTAAATCTATTTACATCAAATTAAGTCCCATAGTAGGTATTATAAACGGGTCAAGTTATATCAAAATCGATTAAATAGTTTTCCAAATATCTTAATTTTTTTTCTTTTTTAAGTAACTTTAACACCCTGTATCTCGAAAAGGAAACTTTAAATCTTACACGTTGATATGAACTTTTTGTTTTATTTTTGCAAGTTCTATCGTCTATTAAAGTTTCCCGATTAAAATCTGAAACCAAGGCCTGTCTTTGCCGACCGCGGAACAGAAACTACTACTAACGATTTATGTTGTCTTTCTCTCAAATTTCTATATGGTTTGCTAGAATGTTCAGCGAGTTAGAAAATATCTTGACAGACGACATTCAAAAAATGACTGAAAATGAATTTACCTGCGAATTAAAATGACGTCAACTGTCACTGTTGAATGATAGGAATACATCCATTGTGCCAGTACATTTTTCTATGTATTTACTATTAAGTTCGGTTTGGTTCGACTTCTTCACGTGTTCAGTTTTTAGAAATAATTTTCTCTATGTCTTTCGATTTTATGAGAACTCTACATGTAACAATTTTTTATAATCTTTTTTTTTCAATTTTATAGTAAATTTGATCTGGATTTACGTTCCACCATAAGGAACATATAAACAAGTTTTATTATTTCAGTATTGTTTACGGTTCACTTTTTTTTTATTTGTGGGCTTTTATCCTAGTTTACTGACACATTAATCTCAATAGCCAAGTTTGTTTTAGCCAATTGATGAATAATCCATTTCTTACCTCTAAAAATAAAATACCTATTTACGATTTTGCCTTGTAATTTTCTTTGTTTAATTTTACCAGTAGAAAATTAAAATACTTTTGTGGTTTTTTGGTTAATAACCACTTTTCATCCGTAATTTTTTTAGTCCAGCCCGTCCACGGAGAAAGATCGTACGATAACGGACGTTTTGACACATTTTGACAAATTTAATCTAACCTTAATAAAAATATAATAGTACAAGAGCTAGCACCGTCGGGAAAACGAGAATTTTAAGAAAGCTTAAGAAAGGTTCTTTAATATATCTTTTGCTATGCTCTCCTGACCAAAGTGCGGGCCGTCTGGCTGCCGGTAGACTACTGCGCATCACATCTGTACAGAATATCCCATTTTCGTGTATTTTATGGGATTTCTAGTTTATGAGTAGAGATACAATGGTGCGATTTTCACATTACTTTGCTATTTTTTTATGAAACTAAATATGCTACACATAGGTTTTTCCTAGTCTCCTTAGTTCCTGAAATGCAAGACGAATTTGTGATGCGTAGTAGTCAACAGATGTTGAATACAGATATGATGCGCAGTAGTGACCGCAACGTCTTCCGGCCGCACTCTGTTCAGGAGAGCATAGCAAAAGCACAGCCCGGCTCTACTTAACAAGGCGTGAACAACTATTTGGCAACGCCGCAACCGGCAAGAGATTGAGATCGGTTTCTAGCGAGCGCGAATGCGCGACGGGCCGTTTTACAGGCTATCGAGGCGCGTATTTTTAAATTAATTTAAAGTTCGCTCAAATTTGCCACATAAAACTAAAAAGAAATTGCCACATTACTAGTCAAAAACAGTCCCTGTTCCCCGAAAAAGTCCTGCTGACAGAACCAAAGAGATGCTTAAATTGATCACTTCGATCTTGCATTTCTTTGGTTCTTTCAGCAGGACTTTTTCGGGGAACAGGGACTGTTTTTGACAAGTAATGTGGCAAATTTGGAAAGATACTAGGCAGGCATTGTATTTAATTTTAGTCTAGTTTTAGTAGGTACCTTTGGCATTGATCCATCTGGCAAGCGATAATCCTCCTCTCTAATAATGTCACTTTCTACAAAATGCTTAGCACAAACCACAGAATATTTTGAGGGTGGCCATGCCACCCTAGGAATATTCCTAAGCCATTGGGCTTTAAGATTTTCATCCTTTGGAAAGGTAAAAACAGATACCGCTTGTTCTCTTGCATCAAGACAAGTTTTATAATTGGATTTGCACCCAGGCACACAACAAGGACTTGGCATCGTAATTTTTGATTACAACAACTAACTTTCAATAAATTGTTTTAAAAAGCACCACAAAATGTTCATTCGCCGCCGAATTTTCCGCCATTCTTTGAAGAAAGCACTTAACCTCGCTTATAACCCGGCGAATTTTTCATCCACGGATATTTGTTTTTACGCAATGTCTACGGAAAAAAATTGTCCCGGTAACTTACAAATCTCACACAGTCTTACAAATCTCACACAGACTTTTCACAACTTTAGTCTTTAACTAAACAATATTTTCTTTCAAAAAAGCAGATTTATTTACAAAAACATAACAGAGCAACAGGTCAATGAAAGTAAATCATATGGCTAAACGCTAAACGTGTATCGATCGATCTGAAACCAGGGTTGCCAGATTTCCTCGTTCACGGCTTGTTAAGTATAGTCGGGCTGTGGCAAAAGATATATTAAAGAACCAGATTTCTTAAAATTCTCTCTCGAAAACGGTGCTATCTCTAAAACTATAAGTAAAACAGTGAAATCGTTACGGAAATGAAAAAAAAAGGTTACTAATCACCAGCAAATCGTAGATTCGATGAACGGAGGCATAAAAATTCAGTAAACTTAAAAACTGCTAAATTTTCTGAAATTCTTTAAATTCAACCAATAAAAAGAATATCGTATCGTCGGATAACGGATGCATGAAAATTAAGCTTTATTAGTAAAATTCTGTTAAAAAAACTAGAAGATCAATATTAACTAGATTTAAAGAACATTTAGCTCAGATAAGATATGGTAGACCGGATAAATCTTGCTTTGCCGAACATATTGTTGATAAAGAACATTGTATAGATCTGAAATAATTTAAAATTAATTAAAAAAGTCTCAAATTACAGGCAATTAGATGAAATGAAAGCATCAGAATTAATAAATGTAAAGATAGTATGAACAGAGACAACGGTCCAATTCCTTTCAAGTTCTTTGTCTCCTACTAATCTAGTGGCGGAAATCTAACTGTTACGCTCAGCGGGCTCTGACAACCGGTCAGAGCCTGATTTTGCCATTTCGCCACTTAGTAGGAACAAAGAACTTGATTGGGACTGGGATTCTGATGATTATCTCTTGATAGTTCTGAGTGTATTTCTTGCCTGATTCAGATTATTAATTTTTAATTATTAAGATCTGTTAATGGGAATGCTTAATTATCACATTAGCTATAACGCAAGATTTATCTGGTTTACTTATATTATCTGAGCAATGTTCTTAAATCTAGTTGGATTCTTCTTCTAGTTTGCCCAACATATTTTGATTACAATCTTTTACAAGAATAGTGAAACATATGTTGATTACAAACTTTAAGAATAGTAATAACTAAATATGTTGGGCAAACTAGAAGATCAATATTAACTAGATTTAAAGAACATTTAGCTCAGTTGTTGATAAAGAACATTGTATAGATCTTAATAATTTAAAATTAATTAAACAATTCTCAAATTACAGGCAATTAGATGCATGTGAAAGCATCAGAATTAATAAATGTAAAGATAGTATGAACAGAGTCAACGGTCCAATTCCTTCAAGTTCTTTGTTCCTACTACTCTAGTGGCGGAAATCTAACTGTTACGCTCAGCGGGCTCTGACTCGGTTGGCTAGATTTTGCCACGCCCACTCGGTGCCCACTGAGCGAGTATTATAAACGCTCAACTTGTAGATTGTACTTTAGTTTATAATCATCTGCTGATGATGCTAACATGGTTAGCGAAACGCGCATCCAGTGTAAAAGTAAAAGTGTTTTGGTGTATTGTGGTGATTTAGTGTTTTTATTTTGCTGTGTAACACCAAAGGTTCCAACCCTCAACTGTAAAATTCTGTTGTTGCGCACACTGATTATATAGTCTATAAAATGAATAACTTTGAATTTTGACCGTTATTTTTTAGCAACATGGCAAATATAAAATCCCTCTATCTAAAAAGTTACTGATATTCTTTAAATTGAGTGCCCGAACGAATCAGATAGGTAACTCTTTTTACTTTCGTGAAATAGAAAAGGAAAATAATAAAACAAGTGACAGTTCTTCCTCTTCTTGCAAAAATCAACACGAAATGGCATAAATGTCAAAAGTAAAATGTCATCAGCTTTTGACATTTCTAAATATCAGACCAATGCCGTCTCTAATAGAACAGCCTGGGAGCGAGATTTATGACGTCACGTTAATTAGATACGGATTAATAAATATGTTGTAGGATACATGGAAAACATAATTATTCCTCGTATTTCTGGTTTGTATTTTAAAAATGATATAGTTTACATGAAATATACATAATATACAGTTAATAAATATAATATATATACCTATTTATAGTAATAAACTTTGGCAAATAAACTATGAACCATACAAATGCAACAAATGTTTTACAATATACGAATAATGAATAGGTACATGGGTAAAATGTAAAATATATTTTAAATTTTGGGGTTTGAAAATCGATCTAATTTAACAAAAAACATTCAATATATACTAATAAGATGTATTATTATTTGCATTCACAAAATGTATATGTACATATATTTTGCAAGTATCAATGTTCGAAAAATTATATTTGAAAATAATACAATATCATAGAAAAAAATGCGTCAGCGATGGGTATGAAATTAAGATCGCTGTCATTTTATAATGTAAAATTATTCTAAAATTTTTGATTTTCTTGGGATTTAGGTTCGGGAAAGACGCTGATTAAGTTTTCATTTGGTTTTTCATTATCTTTTTTGGTTTAAAAAAAACGCTTCGGCTAACATTATAGCCTTCATCAGTGTTGTGTCATATAAAAAAAATAGTGTCGAATATAATCCAAAAAATTGCATATAAAATATTTATACCACACACCACATAATGTTTACTGCAATTAATAAACTAATATACACTTGTCAAAAGATGACCACATATTTTTTTAAATTATTATTCTTAACACTAAAACTATCTACCTTGACTATGGAGTACGATTTCAGCCATAGTCAAATATAAGGAATAATTATGTTAGCGTGATGTCATAAATCTCGCTCCGAGGCTGTTCTATTAGAGACGGCATTGCATCAGCATGGCCGCAAGTTGCTAACCTAATAAAATTAATCCTAGAAAAGCCCGCGGGAACTGTCAAATTCAAAGTTATTCGTTTCACAGACTATATTACGCTTTTGAATGTTTCTGTTTACTTATCTCTTCAAAATAATTAATGTGCTATAACTTTGTTTCAGGATATTCGAAAATGGAAAAGAGACGGTGATGTCCTACGAAAATGACGTGTTGAAATCAAAGACTGTTAATGGCGTTCCTCAAAGTATAACATACGGCGCGTAAATGTTCGGTGTTGTCAAGTTGTGAAAGAGAGATCGTAAAATTATATATATATTTCATTATACCTACATTAAAAGCCAATTAGCTATTGTAATACCCTCCCAAGTAGTGTTTTGAAAATAAAAACAAAGAAAAATAATTACAGAGAAATCTTTTTGGTAAATTTTGGCCAGTAGCCAAACGTTTCAGTGTTGAATACAGTACGAGACTATGTGCAGTGGCAAAAGTGTTAATTTTATTTTTTTATCACTTTATTATGTATTACTATTATAATAATTCTGTTTTCAGAATTCGCGTAGTATCTTTTAATACGATTTGTAACTCAAGTTATTTTGTGTGCGGGCAAGTTGTGTGTTCTTCAGTGACGACAATTCTCAGAAAATATTTTTGTCTCAAAAACAAAGATTAGTTGTTATACGGGACCATTATATTTTCCACAAAAGGAAAAAAAAAGTTATTTTATGAGAATTGTCGTTTTTTGAAAAGTTTTCAATACCTTAATGTTTAAAAAAAACGTATTTATATATTAGGATTTTATCAAACAATTAATATTGAACGATGTATAATTCTTTGTTTAGAGTATTATGACAAGCTACAGAGCCCTTGTCTTGATGACCCTATTAAAATGAATGATATATTAAGACTATTTTACACGACTAGTTCGGCTGAAAAATGCAACTAGGTGTTCGTGTGTGTGCTCATTTAGTAAGAAAAATACAAGAAAATGAAATGTTTTTTTTGAGTTGGAATTTTTATTTACGCAAGACTGCTAATTTTAAAAACGAGCTTATACCTAATTTTAAAGTAATTTCGAAGTGTGAATTTACGATTTAATTAATGTTAGAATTAAAAGAAACCTTTATCGTAGTTTTAAAAATATCTTTCTTAGGATTAAATAGTTTAATTTTTTATGTAATTGTTGCTATTTTATCTTCTCACTAATAGCATTACGAATTATTGCACACAAAGATGTATATGTTATGCTTGTATGTGTGCCTGTACAGTTACTTAATGATAATAAACGATAATATCTCAATAAATCTTGTGTTATTTTACCGACCTTTGTATAGGCGTGGTGCATTTTCCGCCGGTGCTGCCACCATCGGAGAATATCGTAAACAATCGATTTTCGACACAGGTTTAAATAGCGCGTATAGGAAAAATTTATTATTTAATTATTCTAAACGTGTTAGCAAGTATAATTTGTAAAAATTCTAAAAATAAGAATAAAGAAGTAAATATTTTGATATCTGCAGAAGGTCTAACTTGTATTATAATTTATTATTCCAGTTAAAACACTTTTTAGATGAGTTCAACTACGGCAGCGAGCATAGTTTTAAAGCTGTACTTAAACTCATAAAATAATTAACTAGAAAGAAGTGTCAACTCTGTGTTAAATCGTGGCTTTCGGTGGATACGCCACTGAAAGCCTTCGTTGTCGTCTGGAGAACTAACTTTCCAATTGACAGGTTGACATGATAAGGACATGATGGCTTAATTTTCATTTCCGTTTCCGGTTATTCAATGGCGGGCCCTCTTTCAGTTCAAATGTATTTTGTATTTTTTCTTTTCATAAATAAAACCAAAAAATAATTTATTCACATATATTTATTTGAAATATGGAACAACGTGACTAAATAAATATAAAAATATAGAGGATTGTATTGTTTCAATACCAATTAGTTAATTATATGCACTTTTAACGTAAATTAGTTAAGGTATAAGCATGACTTACAGTAATTTGTAAATAAACACCCGCATTCGCAAACTTCAAGGACAGAAAACGGACACATGAACATGAAAACGGGAGCCTTATACAAAAACCTGAAAACAGAAAAAAAAAATTTTATACTAAAATTAACAATGTAAAAATATCATTAGGTATAAAATATTAATATACTGTTTAAAAAAAGCGTCCATTATTCCCAAAGAGACCTGGCTTATAAATCAAAAAGAAGCAAAAAGAGACTTTTAGTCGGATAACATAATCAGATTGTCAGTCCGATTTATTGCATTATTGACAATAAATCGCACTTACTGGAGATAACTTATGTTGGCTATAGTTAAAAATGATCTTACCTTGATGTAAATTGTTTCCATTTTCAAAAAAATAATCGCCGATCAAAGAGATTATAACACCATTTTCTTGCATCTAAAAAAAATGTAAAACAGTGTTTATTTACTACCTATTTTTTCATATACATGGGACATACCTACTACTGCAGAAACGTCATTTTCTCCAGGATTCTTCATGTAATATATATTTTATATACTTTATTACCTTTATATTTATAAATTTCAGCCGAAATATTAAATTGAACTTCCAAAACGAAACTAAACGGAATGAATTAAAATGGCGTCGAATATTTTCGAATTTGTTCTAGAACAAATCTGAAGTTGTCTCTGAAACTGAAATCTGTCATTTCTAAACTGTGAAGTTAGACAATAGTTAGACAAAAACAATGCTGTCCTTGTCTAGGCGGCCGTACTTGTCGTGAGGAGAATGACAGGAATGACACTAATGACTGTTTCCAATTTTCCTATTTCACTGTCACAATTGGGGCATAATTGGGGCTATTTTGGCTATAACGAAATTTTTTAAAGGTACATAATTATAATTTTAGAAGATGTTCATAAAACATTTAATCTAGTTGATTAAAAAAAGTATACCATTAATATTGCAAATTATATTTTATTTTTTCTCTAGTATATGTCTATTTAATTTTTTGTTTATGCAACGAGCACTTTGTTTACTCATTTGTTTCGTCGAACTGCTTGAATCTTGAATTTATTTTCGCTTTTGATCAAATCGGTATGAGAAACTATGAACCTATAAAATGTTGTTTCGGAAGAGTTGAATATCCGGGAAAGTTGAGTTATTGAATGTTATTGCACCCAACAACGCCCTAATTACGCTCTTCTTTACGCATTAGCATTTTTCAACAATTTTATTAACATTTGAAATTGTCACACAACACGACGCCTAATTCGAATTCTTTTTCACTTATTTTTTACTACCCGAAACAACGTTACATCACACAAACTTCATACCTAAGCGTTTTATAGTCTCAATAACTGCACCAGCAAAAAAATTAAAATACTTAATTATTATAATAAAACCACGATTTGAATATTATTTGAGGGCGATCAACATGACGGCGCACAATGGATCGAGGTATAGGGATATAGCGGTCATAAATAGAAAAAAAAATACTTTAATAAGTAATTTGTTGCCCAGCTGTTTTATTTATGGCGAAAAGAAAAATATCTATAGATTTTTTTATAATTTTAATTGAATTTTAGCAAAACGCCGGTCTAATTATGACTGCAAAAATTATTTTTTGTAAAGCGTGTCACTTAATAATATCGCTTAATAATGATTTCTGGTGAACTCCAAAAAATGTTTTTCTTAGATTAACAGCGGCACGCCCCCTCCTTTAAAGGGTGAACGTGGGGGATGGGTATCGGGAAATGGTTGGATTGGGTGAGCAAGTGAAAGGTGAAAGAGATAAGTTTTAAATTCTTTAAAAATCACTTCTTGTATCACTAGCTGTTTGTTTAGACCTTTCTTAATAAAAAAATTCAAGTTCCCCCGTGAAAAAATAAAATAACAAGATACTAATTTAACAATGGGATCCAAAAAATATATTATATGCGTACAGACGAAGAAGTGTTTATAATTTAATTATGTTTGTAAAAAAGTTTAATTTTGTAAACCAAGTGATTTCCATACTTAAAACTTTAAACAATACTAAAATAAACCTGAAGTATAAAATTAAAAAAATATCATATAATATGTTTATACATAATATGTTTATAAACAAATACATTCCTCAAACAATATTATTAGCGATAAGAGGAAACGTCGATAAGCGTCGATAGTATTTTTTTGGTATTTTGAAAACTATAAAATTATGGATAAAAACGACGTTTAAAAAAACATGAAAAATGAATACATAATAATAATTTCAGAACTTTCTTAGTAATAGTCCAAAAGTAGAGAAAACCTTCTTTAAAATATAAAAAATAATAATCATCTCGGGTTTTTTAAAGCCTCTAGGAATATTTACATTCTTGTTTGCTATCACCCTTATCACTAAGCGAAAAAGACAATTAAATGTGATGGGTTTAAGAGAAAAAAAAACATGGTTACAAATTTTATTAAAAAAATTTGTTGTTTTTTTTTTAAACCATATATTTGTGTCATATAGTTTAATTTTTCCAAAATCACTTATGGCCGCTCTTTAACATATGCAAGAGCCACTGTGCGGCGGCGTGAAGTACATAATGATAATTTCTGCCGTAGAGTGCGCTGCGGTCGGAATTTGTGCGCTGCGGCGCTGTATGCGGTAGAAATCAGAAACTTTCGGTATGTATTTCATGCCGTCCCGGTTACAGTTCATGTTGATCGCATTAAATAATACTGAAATGGTGGCTTTGTCATAATATTTAAGTATTTTGTTTTTTTTTGCTAGTGCAGTTATTGAGAGTATAAAACGCTCAGGTACTAAGTTTGCGTGATGTAACGGTGTTTCGGGTAGTAAAAAATAAGTGAAAAAGAATTCAAACTAGACGTCGCGCGTCGTGTTGTGTTGTAACAATTTCAAATGTTAATAAAATTGCCGAAAAAATGTTAACGTAATTAGAGCGTTGTTGAGTGCAATACCATTCAATAATTCAACTTTCCTGGATATTCAACTCTCCCGAAACCACATTTTATAGCTTCATAGTTCTTCACACCGATTGGATCAAAAGCAAAAATGGATTCAAGCAGTTCGACGCAACAAGTGAGTAAACAAAGTTCTCGTTACATAATCAAAATAATTAAAATATACTATGAGAGGATAAAATATAATTTGCAATAATATTAATGGTATACTTTTTTTAATCAACTAGTGATTAAATGTTTTTATTAACATTTTCTAAAATTATAATTATTATATAACTTCTATAAAAAAAATCGTTATAGCCGAAATAGCCCCAATCATGACCCACTAGCAAAACTCATTTAAAAAGTTTTTTTCTAGCTGGAATAATAAATAATTATAAGTTAAATCTTCTGAAGATATCAAAATATTAATTACTTTTTTAATTTTATTTTTAGAATTTTCACAAATCATACTTCCTAACACTTAGAATAATTATATAACATTTTTTTCATATACTCACTATTTAAACTCGTGTATTTGGATATACTAGTTGTTTACGATATTCTCCGATGGTGGCAGCACCGGCGGAGAATGTACCAAGCCTATAGAACGCTTAAAAATAAAACATAATATAGTGAACTGGGAATATACAGGGTCTCGCAACAGCGCGTCGGGTATTTGTAAATCTTATGTAAAGAATTTTAAGTGCAGACCTAAGTTCTATTCTAGGATCTTTGAATAAACAGACTAATAGTCTAAGATCCGGCTTCAACGCAACGGGTATCGGCAGCCAGACGGGCCGCATGCTGTTCCAGAGAGCATAGTAAAAGACATATCAAAGAGCCAGACGTTTTCAAATACTTTCTCGAAAACGTAGCTAGCTCTTAGACTAGTATGTTTATGAACAGGAGAACATTCTAGAATTAATTGGAATAATAGTGCATCCTTAAAAACGAGGATGTATAGGATTTAAAAGAAAAATAATAAAACCCTTTATAAATAGAGACATTTATTAACAAATACGCACCATAGCAAACTGTTCTATTATTTCAATAAGTGGAAACGCAAAATAAAGATCCGTTAAAACGTTTATAAAATTTGTACAATTTGTATAACAAAGAAAAAAAGAGTTCAATTACAACAGACATAAAAACATCCAACAGGCTAAATTTCTATAGAAATTTCTTGTAAATAGTTTTCTTTTACTCCAGTTTGAAAAAAAAAATCTAATTTAATTATTCTAAGCTTTAGTTATTATATTTAGTGATTATAGGAATATGTTTATAGATATGTTTAGAGTAAAAGCCGTATTAGCTTTTATCTTAGTATTAATAAATTATCTATTAGCTAAAGTTTTATTATTTGGTTTTTACATTATTCTCATTCTTTAAACAAAAAAAATATAATAAGCCAATAGTAATAATTCGGTAACGAGAGACAAATGAGCCTTAATAGATTTTCTAGATTTCGTCATAGCTTATATTCAACTAGGAATAAGTACGGATTATTTATGATAAAATGTTTATATTAGTACACTAGAATTAAAATTTTTGAGTGGTGTAGTTTTATGTTTATGTTAAATTATACGAGATTCTATTAATTCTATTTATTCTCTTATTTTCTCACGCAAATTAGAGAAATTTATACATTTGTATTGGATATGTAGGAGTGTTCGCTTTGTTTCTATTCTTTAAATCACAAGTATTAATTTTCAATATAATTAAACATTTACAGAAATTTGATATAATAATAAGATACCGGTGGGATATAATTATCATGAAACTGTTTTGTTAATGACTCAATGATCTAACGAATTGTAAGGTGAAACAAATTGGCTTGTCATGGAGTGGGTAATTTAATAGTTTGAGAAAAAATTCTAACTAATTTATATTTTTATGTATTTGCTTGTATTTAAAACAAGGTATATGCAAAGGGTACAAATACCGTTGAAGTTTCCTTTATTTTAATAGACGCTAGATCTGTTGAAATATTATTTCTATAACACAATCCTGGATTAAATAAAATTACTTCAATAATATACAGGGTGATCCGAACTGTATTCCGGAAACTTCTTTCGGCAGTATATTCTGCAGACTAAGATAAGTAAAAAAGTTCGTAAAAATGTATGTTCTAAAATGTTTAGTTTCGGAGATACAGGGTATAGAAGTTTCATCTTTATTTTGATTTTTTTCAAATAATTTCTGAAATAAAGTTAATATTTGGATGAAAATTGGTGTCTGGGAGTTTTTTTGACATGATAAATTTGATTTTGATGTCAATATGACTCCTATTTATAGGGGGCGCTACCTACGTGTGTTTTAACTGTTTTGAATTGCAATAACTTTTCGTCCGTACCTGTATAAAAGTACTGAGTGAAAAAATATACATTTCCGTGACTTTTTACCTAAAAAATGTCTCTTTTTAAAAATCGCTACAAGTAACCGTTCTCAAGATATTTAGAATGGAAATAGTCGATACATGTCATTATTGACAAAAAATAAACACGTTCCGCAGATAGTTATTTGATAGAAATAATAAATCTGTGAAATTTTAATTTTTTTTAATTATTCTTAATTTTTTCTGCGAAAAAAATATGATAAAACAGTTTCTGTTCAACTTTTGGTACAAAAATATTTCAAATTTATTATTTCATGTTACCCTTGTTTATATATTCTTAAAGTTGCCCAACCGACTAGACAAAATGTGCTGCCAACTGGAGGACAAATCGTGAACCTTTCGGGGCGGAGTCAAAAATATCGATTATTTTCCTTGTTTTCCTCAGAGTAATGTAATAATATAGCCCAGGGTTTCTGCGAACTTTAATAGTGATCAGCTGATTAAGAAATTTAAACGAAACTTTTATTTTATTGTAAATTGTGGATTATTTTGCCTGTTTTATTATTTTAAGAATTATTAAGAATTTTTAAGAATTATTTATTATATTGCCTGCTTTTTTTATTTTAAGAATTCTAAACCGTATTAACAAAGAAATTATTATTTCGATATGTTGGTACATTATTTATAATTTATGATAATGCTAATTGATGTTAATTAATATTTAAAAAAAAGTTACATACTTATTTTAATTTGATTTAATGCAGGTTTATAAAAGAATCATTTCATCCTTAGATTATTTTATTCTAAATTGAGTGCTTTACGAATTTTATGATATTTTTTTTGAAAACATGAAACTTTTTACATTTTTGATGCCAACTAATTGGCATGGTATTATTGGTATGGAAATTAGCCAAGAAAGAAAAGAATTGGCTATAACTTGTAATTTTTCGAAAAAAACATATTATACCTATATCGCTGAAAAGCTATGGCGCTTTTCTATGAAGTCATGGCCAACTATGGTTTCCCGATTAAAAAAAACATAATGACTGTGCGATATGCTAAAAATGATAACTTTAGAAAAAAATATTGCACAAACTCATTAGGTATGTGATTATCTAATAACTTTATCTGAAAATTTTTGTACAGTCATATAAAATGATCGAATAAAATCGGCTTCAACAAATGGCAGATGAAATGACAAGCGATTTCTAATTTGCTATATAATTTTACGTAGATCTAAAATGACAGCGATTTAAAATTTCATAGCCATCGTTGACGCTGTTTTTATTCGATCATACGGGTAGATTATAATGGAATTAGAGACAAAGTTTTAAAATAGCCAAAAATTTTTTTCGAAATATCTAGTAAGCCTTGAATTTCTCCGAAAAATTGAAAGGCGCATATTTATGACCCCAATAAAACTGCAATTTTTTCCATTTAACTGACTAACATCTCCACTGGTTTCCCGAGATACCCATAGAGAACATCGTGCATCCGAAACTCAACGCTGTTTAGTATTTATAAACTAACTATTATTAAGTATGCGGCCGTGCGTTTAATTTGATTAATAAAATCGATTAATTTAGGTTAAAAATAAATTTGAACAGATTTTTTTTGTTCGTATATTCTCCGGCTTTGAAAACCAAAATTATATGATAACGCTAACTTACTATTTAGAAAGGATATAAACAATCTAGGTCGCATTAATAGAATTACTACAATTAGAAGAAATAAAAAGAATAAATCAGATAAATATATTTTTCACCTTGCGTCTGTCTACAAAATAAATAATATAATCTCTTATAAAACACTACCTATAACTACTGCTTCACTACTTCAACCACTCCCCACACTGAAAAATTATTTTAACTTACTAATGCATCAAACAAAAATAGAAAAATATGCAAATTATCCTTTCACCTACTACTTAACTGCAAAATAATAAACTATAAAAACACTACTAACTATTCTACACTAAACATTATAATTAAACTTAACTAAAATTAATCTAATTTTTACACTAAACTTTTACAACTAAAAGAAATGTCTCATTTTTTAAAACTAGAAGAAACAGAACCTCGATATTTAGAATGCAACCAGTCATAATAGATCATTGACAAAGAATAAAAATACTTTAAAATGTATTCAGAAAGCAAAAATAATAAAGTCGAAAATTATCTAAACAAAATTCATTTTTTTCTCTTATCAGTGAAGAAATGACGACTCGTCGGTTTCTGTCGAAATTTTGTCGGGTATTTACACATGGTCAAATATATAATTACCAGCTTTTATAGCACCGTATGATAGACAAAAATGGCTGTCGATTAGCAAACAAATGACACAGTGAAAATTATCGATTTTTATTTACTCTTCTATTGGTCGCTTCTAAAATTCAGAGTAACAAAAAATATTTTTCTGTAGTAAAGACTGTGAAATACGCCCCGCCATCTGGTGCTTTACATCCATAAACGTCTTAGGTTGAGCTACAAAATTCATATACAAGGATGTTACTTAAAAAATATAAAATGATAGCGATCTTCATTTTATAGCCATAGTTAAATTTATTATTTCTCGATCATACGTTTAATTTATGTCAACATGTTTAATTTATGCCAATGTTACGTAAAATGTCGTAAATGTATATTTTTTACTCGGTAGTTTTATTCAGGCAAAAGATTTTTTTAACCTTTATTACTCTTCAAAACAGTTAAAAGATATATGCATGGTGGCGCCCTCTACAAGCAGGAGTCATATTGACATCAAAATCAAATTTCTCATGTCAAAGAACTCCCAGAGACCTATTTTCATCCAAATATTGACGTTACTTCAGAAATTATTTGGAAAAAATCGAAATAAACTTCTACACCCTGTATCTCGAAACTAAGCATTTTAGGTCATACATTTATGGAACTTTTTACTTATTTTTATCTGCAGAATACAGTTTCGGACCAGTTCGGACCATCCTGTATAATAATTATATTTTTGTAATTTGTTGCTAAAGAGAATATAAAATTGAGATTCTGGATTTTACTTGTGGATACAACCCTAATTTAGACAGATTGCGTGATGACATTAAAAGTTAATCTGTCAAAAATCAACAAGGAATTCAGATAGTTAATTTTTGCTACTTGATATAATATTCCTACGTCAATATAAACATTAACATAACTTCCAGGCCAACATTTTATCGGGTGATCTGTACTTATTTTAGTATTTTAATGTATTTTGAAATTAGTATCCCACTATAATAGTTAGGTACATTTTTATATCACTCCCCCTAACCAACAACGAAAATGCTGTACAAATGTTTTAATCAGATTATTAGTAAATTTTATATTTTTTATGAGTATGCTTTAGTTAATATCGAGTACAAATACCGATAGATATTTAAGAATAGAGTAGATTTTTTTCTGGATTTCATTATCAAATATTAAACCTGTTTTGTTTAACATTAAAAGAGCGGTAGTCTCAGAAAGAATGCATAGAGGACGCTGCTATAATTTGATAAGGCTAATAGATTATTGAATATGTTATTTAGTTTGAACATTATCTTCAAAATCCTTATACAATAAATATGTACTTCAGTACTTGATTGGGAACATCTTTTCAAATACAACACTAATTTAGCGTTTTATTTTTTATCTACACTTGGTTTTGGACCCTTAAAAGCAACCTAAAAAAAAAAAAAAAACGAGAACACAATAATTCAGCTTGAAACAAATATTTCCATATCTTTCCGACATTTCCTAATTATAATCCAACATATTGGATCCGTACCAAACGTCATTATCCAACCGTGACGATTTTCTAAATATTAAATCCTATTGCTCTCTTAACACCGGTACCATTTCAATTATTCTGCCTCCAAAAATAGGAGGAGCTACGTTACCAATTACCAAACGCTACATTTGTTGGTGGGGTTCATGGGGGAACCCCTGGGACACTGGTACGCCTTGGCAAAGTCCCAGGAATTGGATAAGGGGCCCAGAACCCGGATGGGTCCGGGCGAATGGACGCTGGACCTTACTTTGGTGAGGGCGTCTTCGGGCCGCATCGAACCGCACCAAATCTGGGCGTAGTTGAGGAAAAAAAGTTGGTCGTGGGTGAGGTTGAGACCGGGGAGGAGGTCCTCTTCTCCGTATTGGGCCACCCATTTTTTGTAGGCCTGTAACAAAGTGAAAGTGACGGTCAAACATTGAACCTATAAGGGTTCGTTTTTTTCCTTTTGAGGTATGGAACCCGAAAAATAATGGAAACTGAAATATAAACACTTCACTTTCTGGATATACACCATCATGTATACGGGGCGTCCCAGGCTGAGCGTTCATTAGATTTTTCTAGAGAACTATAATATCTAGATCGGGGATTTTTTGCACATAATTGTTTCACAACGACATTGGCGGCACTTCCGGAAATCTTCAAAATTATCTTTTTAATAATCTAATCTAATCTCTAATCTAATAATATCTTTTTAATAATTTTTTTTAATAATCTTTACTAACACTTTACACCTAACGCTTTTGAGAAAAAGATTTTTAAAATTCTTGGAGGAAAAAAACTGCCTGTCAAAAAAATGTGTATACCCTAAACTAGAGGTGGGAATTCTAGTTCCTTGGGAGGAACTAGTTCCTTAGTTCTAGTTCCTCCAGAGGATTAGTTCCTTGAACTAGGTCTTTAGTTCACAATAGTTCGCGACTAACATTGACATCCCTCTTGCTTGCTAATGCGTTTCGTTGTCAGTCAGAACTATTCACAGTATGATCTGTATAATTTTTATAATGTACGGAGATATAACGAAACGTGTAATTGTGTATGTTAAAAACATATAGGTAAGTTCTATAGCAGATAAAAAAATTAAAAAAAACTCAAATCAGAATTTAAAAAACTATATCACAAATCAATTGGAGCAAATATTACAAAAATTTTACGAAAAATTGCATTTTTCCTCACTTCAAGCCTTTTGTTTTTGTCTAAAAATTCAGAATATCTACTTCGTTTTATAAGATATTTCTTAATTTTAGGGACCTAAAGTGAAACATTCCCATAAAATATTTAAAAAACAAACTAAAAATCAAAAACAGTATCCACGACAATTTTCTGTGGTATTACGCCGCGCCGGCTGCGGCAATAGACAAGGCCGAATCCATCGTCGTCGCCTTGTATTATATCTTGGATCTGCCGACTGAATAGATTCCCGTGAACTAGTCTTTTAATAGTTCCTCTATGTCCGGATCCGATAACATACGGCTCGCACTCCCCACGCCTGCCTAGCATCAATCGCGCTGGCTGATCCATACGTAAACTAGTCTTTTATTTAGTATTTAGTTCCTCTAGTTCCTTTAGGTCCGGATCCGATAACATACGGCATAAGGCTGGCACTCCCCACTCCTACCTAGCATCGATCGCGCTGGCCCGATCTGTTATGTAACTAGCATGTAACTAGTCTTTTATTTAGTTTAGTTCCTCTAGGTCCGGATCCGATAACGTACGTCTGGCACTCCCCACTCCTGCCTACCATCGGGCTACGCGCGCTAGCCGATCCGTCGCATATTATTCTATATCGGACACAGTCTCGATCCCGGAATAGGTCCTGAGGAACTAGGCCTTTGAGAAACCAGGAACTAGTTCCTTTCATTCCGGGGGCGGAATAGTTCATTGGAACTAGTTCGTTCACGAACTACACACCTCTACCCTCCCTAAACGTAAAATTTAGTGATTACCACAGTCACTGTGACATATAGAGAAGCCATGTGACTATATATTTCAAAGATTAAGTTGTTTTGAATGTCATATATAATGGCCGTAGCTGTCATGGCATTGAGCTATTAAAAATTATCATAAATCAGTTTTTTCAAATGGAAACCCACTTTTTTATTTCTAGTTTTATTACTAGTGAAAAGTATTTTCAATTTGTAACTTTTTGATTATGTTGTTGTTCCTATACCTAAAATAAGGTTTAGGTGGTTAATTTACGATTTAGTTTTAAAGCGTATATTTTTCTTGATTTTATCTAGCTTCCTTTGACATTAAGTGTCAAACAATCAGATAATTTATTTTCTTCTGTCAGAAAACTTATTTAAATATCGTAAATTATAAATACTGTCTGCCATAAAACATTATAAAGTGTATTTATAAAAATATATTTCGTATTTTCGCTCTTTAGTGATAAACTATTAGATTATCACTAAAGAGATATATCACTAAGATGATATTAATAACACAGAACAGATACTGATAATTGATTTGTATCTGTTCTGTGTTAATAATATATATTGTATGATAAAAAACGGCGCAATGTTGGCTTGGAAATGACGATCGATGACATACGGTTTTTTTTAACAAAGTGTCACAATATATGACATGGCCAGATATATTGTTTTACGTCGCTTGACGTTTGAAGTCGTAGGCTACTTGTTAAAATCAAAAAAATATAGGCTTTAAAAGTAAATTTTAAATAATTTAAAAACGATTTATTTTAGGTATAGGAACATATAATCAAAAAGTAACGAATAGGTAAACATTTTCACCAGTACAATAAAAAAGGTAGGTTTCCATTTGGAAAAAATTATGATAATCTTTTACTCGCTTAAAGCCTTGTTCACGTAGACGCGAATAGCGAATCGCGATTTTGCGAAACTGCTCTCATTGGTCCAATTTTATTGATCATGGCGGCGCTGTCCGAAATTTTAAGATTTTGGCGATTCGCAAGATTTAAAATTTGGTGGGCGGGAAAGTTAAAGTGTTTTCAACTTTTTGCGAATATTCGCGCGTGTTTGTGTTTGATATAAAAATTCATAAAATTTTACGGAAAATTTAGGTATGTAATATAAAATGGAGGTACCCAATTAATATAAGAACGTGGCTGTCAACTTCCGATATTTCCAAAAGTGCCGCCATATTGAAAATATTTTTAATTGATAGATCTCGTTGTGAAACAATGATATGCAAAAAAAATCCGATTTAGATATTGTAGTTTTCTAGAAAAAAAAACTTCTAATGCACACTTACCCTGGAACACTGGATGAACCCGATGGTGAACCATAGAGAATAGTTTGTTTTGAGAATAGTTTTGATGCAACTTGTGTTTTGAATATTTGATAATAATTATATTTGCAAATTAGTTTTATAAACAATATAGCTCATCAAATGTAACCCTACCCTAAATGATTGCTTTAATCCTCCATTGTCAGCGATATTTTCTCCTTGTGTCATTCTACCGTTAACGTAGAGGCCAACTTCGTCTATTTTATACCGAGAATACTGGTCAATGATGCACTGAGTCCTTTCCCGAAATGCCTTGATAGTAGCGTTGTTCCACCATTGCATCATATTACCGTCTTTGTCAAACTGCCTGCCTAAAAACCAATATATAAAACTGTTATTAAATGTATCCTTTGTGTTGTTATTATTAACAGAATACCTTTGTCGTCAAACCCATGGGTAATTTCATGACCAATAACCACACCAATTCCGCCGTAGTTTAGGGATTTTGGAAAATGTTGGCTGTAGAAGAGAGGCTGCAGTATACCGGCCGGGAAAACTACGAAGATTTTAGAAAGGAACTGTCAAAAGCATTGGAAAATAATAGAAAAAATGTGTTTAACATACCTATATCGTTTTTATTTGGGTTATAAAAGGCATTAACTACAGCTGGTTCCGTGGACCATTTATCTTTGTCCACTGGCTGGCGAAGCCTTTGCAAATTTTGTTCAGCGTCGAATTTTAAGAGGTTTAGGATGTTCTTTAAAAAATCTTTTTTAGTAAGGTTTAGCTGAAAACATTGAAAAGTAAAAAATATTATAGTTGAAGTATAAGTGATAAATGAGGTCTAAATTACGAAAACTTGAAGAGATAGGTAAAAAATGGTATAACTGAATTTGATAGACAATTAAATTGTGCATCTGATTCTCTTAAAATATACAGGGTGTTCCATTTAAATTAAAGAAGTTATTGCGGTTTGAAGCTAGTAATTATTTAATATAAATTTTTAGACAATCTGTATAAGGTATTATTTTGTTTATTGTTGCAACACAATATCTGATCAATAAATAAACTTCAGTAAATATTTAGTATTAAAAACTTTGATACCTTTGAAGAAATGAAGGAATTTCATAAAATTGAAAATACACTTCCCCAATAAATTAATGCACCACAAAAAAATAAACAAAAGTTTAAGTTAAGTTTTTGTCAAATCCACTTATCCGATTTGGACGATTTTTTTTTGAATGATAAGTTATTCTTTCCACATTGTTGTTATACTAACTGTATTTTGATAGGAACCCTTTCTATACTAATACCGGGTGTAGCAATTATAACGTGTTTTTTTTTTATTAAAATTTGTGACACCTTGGAGAGTTGATCAGTTACAGTATCAAGTTAAAATTGAAATCACATTTTAGCCTTATCTTTTTTTACATTTTGTTTTTTTATTTACTCCATTATCTTCCTTATTACACGAGAAACAACATTTTATAGGATGACATGATTTAATATTGGTTTTAATTAACATTTTTCCATTTTACTCACTAAAGTAAGTAGCGGGCTATGGAAAACATGGATTACCAGAAATGTCAAATAGAGATGCTAGTTTCTGTGCAAACTTGTAGACAATTAGTATCTCTGAGCTGAGTTTGAAGGGTCCGAGCTGTTACGAAACGTTGTCTTAATGTTGAGAGTTTTAAAAAGCGTTCCTGAATCGGATTGGTTCTTCGATTCCTGCCTTGTCCCGGCCTGCGACAATTACTCCCAGTATCTCTATACCGTTGTATAACTCGTGGAATGGTTGAGTGAGTTACATTAAATCGTTCACCAATTCTTCGGTAGCTCCAACCTTCCTCAGACAATATTAATGCTTGAGTACATTCTTCGCCAGTAAGATTTCTTGTTTCACGTGCAAGTTGCATATTTTTGATAAAATAAAAGGACGAAAACGACTGACACTGACAACAAGCATCTCTATTTGACATTTACTGGTAATCCGTGTTTTTCCATAGCCTGCTACTTACTTTAGTGAGTAAAATGGAAAAATGTTAATTAAAACCAATATTAAATCGTGTCATCCTATAAAATGTTGTTTCTCCTGTAATAAGGAAGATAATGGAGTAAATAAAAAACAAAATGTAAAAAAAAGATAAGGCTAAAATGTGATTTCAATTTTAACTTGATACTGTAACTGATCAACTCTACAGAGTATCACAAATTTTATTAAAAAAAACACGTTATAATTGCTACACCCGGTATTAGTATAAAAAGGGTTCCTATCAAAATACAATTAGTATAGCAACATTGTGGAAAGAATAACCTATCATTCAAAAAAAAATCGTCCAAATCGGATAAGTGGTTTTGACAAAAACTTAACTTAAACTTTTGGTTATTTTATTGTGGTGCGTTAATTTATTGGGGAAGGGTATTTCAAAAACGGTAAGGTTTAAGTGTGATAAGCCTTAATCAAATTTACCTTTATTTTAATCGTAGAATCTAAAAATAGAATAATATAGAGAGTGCTCCATGGAATACTCTGTATCTTGTAAAATTATTTTTAAATTGTAACTTGTAAAAATTTAATCGTTTAGCTAGAATACTCCTTGTCGTATGTGGCGTTTTCTGTTATAAAATCTTTATTGATTAACAAAACACTTACTGCTGCGTATTCTTTTATTAATTGTTCTCGATCGGTTATTAACTTCGGATATCCGATCCTCTCGTTCATTGCGTCCGCTTTTTCTTTGGCCACCGCTCTAGTTTCATCGTCCATCCAATCGTTATCAGCCAAAAGTTCATTGAACGCCTCTCGTATCGTGTGGATCATTTGGAGGGCAGTCTCCTGAAAGAAAGATAATAAAAAACAATGGTACTCCACATTCGTCTGTTAAAATTCAATATGGAGAATTTGGATAAGTAGTTGGATGGATGGGAGCTGGAGAGGACGAAAAACTTCAATTCATATTGCGTAGCAATTGCTATGTTCCTCAGAAAATCCTAAATTACAGTTGGGGGTTGGAACCTTTGGTGTTACAACAAGAAAATAAAACACTAATTCGCCCACAATAGGCCAAAACACTTTTATCTCTATTTAAAATCACTTTTGCACTGGACGCGCGTTTCGCTGTGCAAAAGTGAAGTGTTTTGATGTACCCACAACCAAACTTATATGGAATCATTCTTTATTTCTGACTAAATTTTTGGAATGGTATTTTTTTTGCAAATTGGTATACAGCTTGAAGATAGACCTTTTGTTGTAATAAAACATGATAATAAAGAATTAACGACTGCTGCGACTTATTTTCTTGAGAATTTTCTGTTCAATAATAAAATCACGATTGCCCGGTGATTTTCAATCGATCCAAAAAAAAATGACATGTTGGATTAACTGATATACAGAGGGGAAAAATTATTGCTCTCATTGAACGAGGAATGCCACAAAGAGACAGCAGAGATAGTAGGCGTTATCTAGAGTGTTTGGTTTGGTTTTGGTATCGAAAATATATGCAAGGTACTTGGAACTAGAAACTCTAGACAAAGTTGTAATGAAGCTCATAAAATTTCTAGGACACCCTGTATATTGTGTTAATATTATTCTAGAATAATAGAGCCTTCATATTCTTTTAATAATGACAGTCAATGTATTTTATTGTTAGATCATTATTGTAACGAACTTCATTAGTGTTCTTATTGTTGAATTAAATAAGTTAAATATTTAATTGCCATTTTGTAAGAGAGTTTTGATCGGTTTTGGTCGCTAAAGTTTAATGCGAAAAACCGAAACGTTTGCGCCGCTCTCCCTACTCTGCTAGTGCGGGTTGGAGGTTGAGGAGGGGAGCGTCAGTCGAGTACCTCGGCTGCAGCAGCTCCAGTTAGACAGTTTGTGGTCGCACGTGAAACAGTGAGGTTCGAGTCTGGAGTGCCCTGCCAAGTGTCCTGCTGCCAGCCGCCTGTCGCCGCACTGTATAAGGTAAGCACCCACCGCCAACGTGATCGAGAGTAGATCGTTTCTTTTTATTGTTAATGACGTTTACTTTACTGCCTTAACGCGTTACAGGGATAAGGGAGACAGAAATATTTATATTCGCTCAGGTAGGCCGACTGTCCTCTACGGAGGTTGGGGGCTATTTGATCGGATCACGTGGACGCGAGGAACGATTTCTTTTGTTAAAAGGGAGAGAGTGAGACAGCTAACGGTTAAGGTAGCACAGTAAACGCACGGGTCGCGAATGTTCACGGGCTAAAAACAAGACCTCGCCCAAATCCCGAAGGCGGGTTTGTAGCTCCGTATTTTCTGGGTGTCGTCCGGACGGCACCCTGCATCAGTGACGCTGGACGGGATCTCGCCGAAATCCCGAGGTTGTCCTGACCGGGCGGTGTGTGTGCGGGCTGCGCTTATCCAAACGACGTACAACTCGCCGAGACGTCGCTAACGTCTACGTCACTCCGGGACTCGCGTTTGTGTATCCCTCGGGACGCGGTTAACTTCGCGATCGATCCAGGGCTTGCGTGTGTGTATCCCACGGGACGCTGCTAACTGCGCGATCGATCCAGGACTCGCGTTTGTGTATCCCACGGGACGCTGTTAACTTCGCGATCGATCAAGGGCTCGCGTTTGTGTATCCCTCGGGACGCTGTTAATTTCGGGATCGATCCAGGACTCGCGTTTGTGTATCACGGGACACTTTTAACTTCGACGCCAATCCGAGGTCCGGGTTTCGCTGTCAAAACGGACGCCGTTCCGAGAAATATTTAGCTGTGATCACCGGGACGCCTGTAACGTCGTCGCCGCCGTTTAGAGAGTCGCGTCATAGTAGAGTGTGTTGCTCCGGTACTTACGTGCCTGTGTTCATTAGGACGCCGCTAAATTCGACGTCGATCAGGAACTCGCGTCGTCTCTTTTAATAGAACGTCATTTAGGGAACGCGTTTTGAATTCGCGGGATAGAATCAGTCAGAGAGTTACATATCGGGAATAATCGATCAAAACTCTAGAGGTACACGGTTGTTAGTGTAAATCTTGTGCTACGAGGTACTGAACATTTATTTTATTTTTATTATTGTTACAATTAGAGAACGCGAACTTTCTTTGATTACTTTTGTACATAAGTAATTTATTAAATAAAAACCTAGTGTTACGTTGTAGTTAATTGTGTGTTTTATTTTCTTTTCATCTCATCACTCCCTGGTATCTCCACTGTATAAAAGCTACCCGTATTGGCACTAGTGGTCTCTCAAACACTTTAAACGTTGGGGGTGGCGCTCGAGGAACCGAACCAAGGCAACGCGGCATCCGTAACCTTTCTCTAAAACGGGGGAGCGTCACAAAGTCGTCAAAAAGACAATTGAAAAACAAGACGGGTTCTCAGAGCTCCAGGAAGACGAGCGAGATTCCAGGCTGCCAAATCTATTACAAGGCAATAAAGGAGGAACTGTAATGCTCTGGGAAGGTATTATGCTGGGAGCAAAAACTCCATTGTTGCTACTTCACTAAAATTTAACGACTCGGAGGCATGTTGATTTAGTGCTAGAACCAATCCATTAGGCTTTGGAGAGCTGCAATTGGGGATAAATTTAATTTCATGCACGATAGTGCACCTTCCCATACCAGCAGAGTGGCTAGAGAATATCTTGAAACCGATGGTGTCATAGTTTTGGACTGGCCTGCATGTTCACCAGATCTAACCCTATCGAACACTTGTGGGACCAGCGCAAAATCTCCCACAGATTATTGATGCAACATTAGCAATTAATAAAATTATCAATTTTCTTTTTGTTTTTGCTTTTTGATCATTACAAATTTAGATCTCATTTCGTTTCAGAAACCAAAAAATAATATTGTGTTTATTTTGGGAACTAATTATTTTTTTTATTGTTATATGGATTATTTTTCATAAAATTCTTTGGTAAGAACTGAGTTACTGAACGAAGTACTGGTTATTGTGGTGAATTAATGTTTTATTTTGCAGAAAATCATACTTCAGGAAAATCTAAGAACCAATGTGGGAAAAGACCAAAAGGCGATATAGATGCAGCAATTACAGCAATGGCTGTTTCAATTTGTTCAATTGATTGTATCAATACAGTGAGTACAGCACAATGTTGCCAAAGAATTTTGGTAGTTTTCAGACGTTTTTTTTATCGTAAAACACACATATTACGTCTATATCTACAACTTGCTCGATTATTGTTTTTATTACCTACCTTGCTGTCATGATTAAAGTTATCTCTGATAAATAACGCTCCTACCGCCATGCCTATCTTCTTGTTCGTCCATTCAACACACTGGGACCACCTGTGTCTTTCACTTAAGACACCTTGTAAAATTTTGCGGAATTCCACTCTTTCCTTTTGATAATCATCAATCATGTGCGAGGACAGGGACATAACTAGTCTCCAAAGTACATAGTTGTGGATAGTACTACAAAGTTTATTATATAATAAGAAATATACCGTTGTTTCTTATACCAAGGGCTGGCAAAGGTTAGTTCAGGGTCGATATTTCCGTTTAGAATGTAGTGAACAAAGAGAGAACAGTAAAAACGTTGCCAAACGTATGAAATAAACCGAGAATCTGTGTCCATTGCTAAGAGACGTGGAAGGGGATATAGCAGATTCGTCGCGGTAGACGAAAAAAGTTATAGTCAGTACATCAGTACTTAACATTTTAGAGAAGGGTGTATATGACGCGTTCAGCTTTACGATTTAATTACGTCTCGTGATACTTTTTGTTTATTTTATTAACGAGTCGTTGTAACTTTCCCTATAGCTTGTAAAATTTTAAGTGCAAGTTAGAGACACAGTTGGTGTTCGACAGTGGTCGCGCTATCAGAACTCTGAATTCAAAAATCGATATCTCGAAATCCATTAGAAATAATTGATTGTAGTTTTTTTAAAAAAGTTTCTTAATATTTCGAAAAAGGTCTTTAAAAATAAGCGGTTTGCGATCGTGATTTTACTTTAGTTAATAGGGGGTACCAGAGAAATGTCGCAACGCCGCAACTGCACACCGTTGCATTTTTCTCACTCCGACTTAATAAGATCCCTATGCGATTTACTTCCACACATGTAAATACCGACCCAAAAGTAAGAGTTGCCAGCACGGTAGAGTTACGTACCGCCTGTCTGTTTCCGCTATTATTTTTCCCATCTCAAGAAAATAGTGCAGCCCATACGCAACAACAGGTTCGTCTTCGTTAATATCAACATCCAAAAATGATCTGAAATATTCCAGCCAGTTTATTTGGGGCACGATTTCTTGCAATTTTTTAAGGGATAATTTTTTATACATTACACTTGTGTCGTGTCGGTCTTGTTCAGGCAACGATACCTGTGAAATATAAAAGTATTAATTTAAGTCTCGCAACAAAATGTTCACAGTTCCATTAAAGTTATTATAAGTACCTCTGCTAGTTTTTTCTCAAATTCTATGATATCTTGCAATTCAGTCCCTGCAGTGGTTTTGTTAGCACCAAGAAGGACTGCGATATTAGTCATGTATTTGTGATAAGCATTCATATCACCCTCGCTACTGGATTTTAAATAATAATCTCTACTAGGCAAGGCTAAGGTCATTTGGTCCATCTACAAACATATGTATTAGTTTATTAGAAGCTTTTTGTAAAATCATAAATACAAAATGTATCAAGGATCTATAATCCAACAATATAAATCACATTATAGTTTGTGTTTCAATGTATCTATCGCTGTATTTAGGACAATGACAATTTATTGTGGGTTAGCTGATGTTAAAATTGATTATAAAAAAACTTTAAAAGAATAGTGTGTCTAAATCTGAAACATTTGAACGGACAATTTGAAAATTGGCATTTGGAAATATATGTTCGAGACGAAATACTACCAGAAAAATCTCAGTTACATATCAGAGAGTTGGAGAGGGAAAATAAGGTCTTTTTTTATTAATCTCACTCCCTTTTTAGGGAGTAGCTACACAACAAAAGTTTTTTATACAAACCTACCCTGATAGACAGATCGTTAAGAAACTCGTTGCTTTCTTTTAACAGTCTTCTAGCAAATCTTTAATTGTTCGACTTGTGTACCGGTATTTAAAAGTACTAATACTATTTTTTGTAATATACAGGATGTCCCAGAAATAAGTGCAAGTATTTTAAGGGGTGGTAGATCTCGATAAAAGAAACATATTTCCAAAGTCCAAAAAGAAAGTCCAAAATATCGGAAATATTTTACTTTGAAAATTTCCAAAAAAATGATTATTTGCTAAAATTGAGAACCACTGGATTCTTTTTCTGGATTTTCTTTCTTGTAAATTTAATCTAATACCTATGTTGCCATAATATCAAGAAATTATGTTTTTTTAACTAAAAATAAAAAAATTTCCAAAAAATTTGGGATTTTCAAATTTTTTTTTTCGCGAAAGAAACCTCATAGGCGTGTTTCTGGGGTTGAACCATATTACCAGTTAAAATACTTACACTTATTTCTGGGACACCCTGTATAGTTTGTAATCCATTTCCGATTGCTACTTTGCAAATTGTCTGAATGTACAATACGTCTGTCCGTTCTGTAGCTACGGGGTATCCGTGAGATTGGTATTCTCTCGATGTTTTTCGTAAAAAATTAGACGACGCGTCTCATCAATAAAAATTCCGACAAATTTGCAAGTAGCCAATAAAATAAGTGGGCGGAGCGATTTGCGGTGACGTACTCGTCAAGTCGACGTATAAAATATATTGCTGTTTATTTAAATATTTTTTGTTCGCATTCCTTTCGTTGACACAGATCCAGCAGACGTACTGTATTATATGTATTGTTATATTTCTATTGAATGAGAAGAAATTCAAATAAATAATAAATAGCTGACAGCACTATCAAAAATTTCAGCTTTAGGTAAGTTAAAGCATAAAAAAGTTATTTTTACGTATTTTATATATTATTTGACATATACCGGGTGCGTCTCGAAAGTGGCTCATCCCTATAACTTTTTTATTTTTATTAGATAAAAAACGGAATTTGGTATGTTAGTATATGACATAAATTAGGATTGCTTGACGTATTCCTGTTCCACCGGAAACGACTACAACCTACGATTTTTAAATGGCACCCTCGGTATATTTCGACTTTATTCGATAGAAAATGACACTATAAATACAATAATATATATCATATGTCAACTTTTGACATTTTCGCTTAAAAACAAATCGTATTCTAAATTTCAATCTAGAGTGCCATGGCGATGATCAAACCCTAAGTTTTAATCAAGGAGCCTTGGAAAAATAGTTTTGATCGTCTAATGTTTCTCGTGTCTTGTCACTAGGCAGGTTAAAAAATGCCCAAATCGTATTTTTAATCGTATCTCAATTAGAGATGGGAACTATCGAATGAATTAGACTATCGAAAGGTTACTGAATGAATGATTTAAACTATCGAATGGTTTCATTCGAATAAAATCATTCATTCATTTGTATACTAAAGCATATGTGACAACCTCGCCGTGCGACTAAATGGTTATCGTTAAGCCACGACTATCGAATGCTTTTGATAAATGAAATTTAGTATTCGTTTGATTTTTGTGTGCGTCAGTGCATTATTAGTTCTTCCAAATTTTTATAACTTGCCTTCTAAATACTGTGCTATTTTGCGTTTATTAAAATATTTAAAATACTAAAGTAGTAGTGTTTTTTTAAATTGACGATTCTGTGCGTGTGCAGGTGGTCAAAATTTTTCCGAAAATTTGTGTGATTTTCCGATCTTTCAATTATTTAATTTTATGCGGTATATGGTCTATTTTTTTAATGGAAAATGTTGAGAAGTAACAATTTTTCAGAGATGAGGTGAACTTACAATTAATTTTAAAAATACTAGATGTTTTAGTAATATGAATTAGTTGAACTTAATAATCATATTTAAGTAATGTGGTAATGTGGTTATAGAAGTAAAAAAAAAGTAAATGGTTATCGAAGTTAAATTTTGGGATGAGAAAATTAAATTGATTGATTAAAGTTTTACACGTGCCAATTTAAAAAAAAGTTAACGATATTTGTATTTTGTTTATGCTAATTCTCTTACATGTAGATTTTTGCGAAGAAATATTTCCTTTATTTTTTAAAGTAAATGCCAGTAAAAGCAAATACTATTTTTAAATACTAATACAAAGTAATAAAATGAAATACACATATATAATTTTGATTTCTAATTTTTTATTTATATTTTTCTTCTATTACACAGAAAATTAATAAATATGTTTATATTTCATGATTTTAAAATTTGTTGGTAATATAACAAATTAGTTCTGTAATTATTATTATTTAATAAACCAACGTTGCCACAAAAAATTTAGAGACTATATTATTTTTAAATAGGATCTAATATAAATAATTTTGACTTCTAATTTGTTTATATTTTGCTACTACTTAAAAAAATGTTTATATTAAATGATTTTAAATTTTGGTGTTAATAGGTATAACAAATTATTACTGTTATTATTATTTATTAAACCAGTTTCGCTTAAAAACATTAAAAATAATTTTCCTACATCCAAAATAAAAAGTATTATTGAAGTGTAACAACAGAATATTAATAAAAAAAATGCAAAATATATAAATAGTCCTCACTATCCCTAACTAATTATAATACCAAAGAATAATATTCTTTGCTAATACCAACTAATACGAATATACGGCAACAGCGCCGTTCATAATGTATTTTTTGTGTAAATACTAGCCCCTCAATAAAAAAATAATGTGTCCTTATCTTTATCTGACTCAAAATCAAAGATGCCGGCTTTTTTCATACCATTGCCACCGACCGCCGACCACTGTCGGGTTTCTAGGAAAGAAACCTACGTCGCCGGGCGACAACTAAAATCCAGTTTATATTTTACTATAATCGATCCTGACGAATAAATGAATTTTACAAATGAATGGTTTTGCTGCCGAATTAATATATTTCAAGGCAGATGACGCATCTACTCGATATTTTTATTCGAATAGTTTTCGACGAATGTTTTCTTACTAGCTATCGAATTATTCGAATGAATTGCAACTATCGAATGTTTCGATAGTATTCATTCAATAGTTCCCACTACTAATCTCAATGTTTTCAAATTGAACCACCACCACCCCTGGCTCATTAGCATATTTGGAAAAAACATTTTTTACGTATAATTTGGTACCACACACTTGGTATTTCGAGTCAAATTGTCGCTATGAACCGCATGTTACAATTTCAATTAAATCATATGCGAAAGTGTCAAAAGGTGACATATGATATGTCGTTCTATTGAGCGTGTCATTTTCTATCGAATAAAAGAGAAATATGCCGAGAGTGCCATTTAAAAATCAAAAGTTATAGTCATTTCCGGTGAAACAAGAAGTGACCAAAAACAATCGAATACGTCAATCAATCCTAATTTTTGTCATATACTAACATACCAAATCTCGTTTTTTTATCTGAAAAAATTAAAAAGTTATAGGGGTGAGCCACTTTTGAGATGCACCCGGTATAGTGTACTTACACTATTTTTGTTAAATATTACAGTTCAAACAATAACTTTAAATAATGCCTATATGCACCTTCGTGGCGAGTTCATTTCTTAAGAAACAAAATGCTTCTTTAGACACTAGAAGAACAAATGTTTCTCTTAGTGGCGAAAAACGTAGAAGCACAGATTAGGTATACTATATGTATACAGATAAAAATCTTATCCCTAATTCGTGGTACGAAAATTGCTTTTTATGACGATGTGCAAACGAGTAAAATTTCCTGTGCGCAAAAATAAACTCGCGTAAAATAACAATAAACAGCGTAATAGAGAGATATCGCTAAACCGATATAGCGTGCATGGACGTTAATAAGCCCAGATGTTATTTCCTTTACGTGAGGTGGTATTAACTCTCTTCATTAATAGTTATCGGATTCTGTTCGTGTCGCGTCCGCAATTTAAACTTAACCTAACTTTGAATTTAAAACTTTGAAATTGTTTTGTTTACTAGGTATTTTAAAACTAAAGGGCTAAGGTGCTTATTTCCAGTGCTTTATTGTTCAACGTCTGCCAGTGGGTTTAGGGCAACAAGCAACAAATTCTCTTAGAAGGGCTAAGTCGTCATCTGCTGTAAACCTAAGCCTCTTTATAGGTTCTTTAATATTGGAAGAGGTGGAATCCATATTTTAGGCCATATTTATTTAATTAAAACTAATCCCAACTACTTAAATATCAAATTACCTAATAAAACTAAAGCAATAATTCGAAACAATTCAAACATAACCTAAAATAAAAGATCTCGCCGGCCGGCCCCGGTTGTCAAATACCCGCACATGCCCATTTAAGCAATTTTTAAACGTTATTTAGAAATAGCGCTTGGTGTAATTGATCCGCAAATTACGTCAGGCGGTAACGTTATTAGCGGGTGTTGCGTTAAAAATTGACTCGCGCATATCGTAACCATGATAAGGTACGCGTAAATACTGCATGACGCTATTCGGTTTTCCGATATCTCTCTAATAACTGTGCCGGTCAGGCGCTGTACACAATTTTAGAGGCCATAAGTGGGCGTGCTATATGCGCAAACTAGTAACCTAACTAGTGCCCGATTCGGAAAATTCTT